GTGGCATTGTTACGCACATCACATCGCGGTTTTAGATCAGCCGGTCCTTTGGTCACGAGTTTGGTGAGAAGGTCTGGGGTCTGACGCAGCGGTGTGACGTATTATTGTTGGTTGCGGTCGTGCGATTGTCGCATGTTGAGGGTGGCGATCGGACAACCATGGCACCGCCTACCAGTGACTGTTCATCTCTTAAAGTGACAGGAACTGAATCCCCTGTTCAGGGATACCTCCAGATTGCTGGGGTGAAGAGAAGTTCATCTAGGGTCTGCGGAGATACACTAAGGAGACGTTGGCTAGCTCTCCAACAGATTGTACTGCAGAGAAGGCTTGTAAATAGTTCCAGGAAGTTTTCATCAGTTCCTCTGAGCATCCTGTACACCCCTAACCCTATCCCAGTTTAAATCCCCTAAATCAGGGGTGGGCAACTGTGGCCCTCCAGCTGTTGTAAAACTAAAAGTCCCAAGAGGCATTGCAAAACTGACAGTTACAAGCATGACTCCCAAAGGCAGAGGCATGATAGGACTTGTAGTTCACCAACAGCTGGAGGGCCATAGTTGCCCACCCCTGCCCTAAATTAACAAAACCAAACCTCAAGGACTAATTTCTGACTTTGGATGCAAGCCTGTGTGAGGATGTGTGATGCCTGGCTATGCAGGACTACAGGGGGATACACATCTTCTAGCAACTCTTAAGAATGTAGCGCTACATGTGGGCTTGAAATAACAGGATTTTCCTATAGCAACCTGCCTGCCATTACCCCTAGCAACCAACGAGCCAAGAAAGAGTTGATGTTACTGCAGTTGCCCTTGGCAACCACACCTGGCTTACCTAAAGATCTCTGCTGCTCTAAAGGTGGCTGGTGAATGGACTGTGTTTTATTAACCTGCTTAAAATGTGCTTTGCTGCTACTACCGCCATTATCCGGAGCAACTGGAACAACCCTTAACGTTGCAAAGGTCTTTTCGCTGGCCAACAGGTGACCCCCAAAAAGACTATGCCTCAAAGTTCCTGCTGTAATCAGTAAAGTGCCTGCCACTGCTGTCATTTTGCTTGGCATCGTCCAGAGTAACCACAGCGGCCTATCAGAGTTCTCAGGTCTCTTTGCTGCTCAACAGGTGGCTCCAAAAAAAAAAGACTATGTTCTCTGTGTGATTGCAAATGCCAGTAAACAGTTTGCCATTTTTCTGGCTTGGATACCTGAATTTCAGAGCAGGGTAAAGTCCCAGGACCACAACTCCCCTGGCTCCAACGGCAAACCCTTGTAGCGGAGGAGGATTGCCCACCACCATCCACCATATGCTCACAGATGTTGCTGGTGCCCACAAGTGCTGTCCAGATCGAACCAGCCAATGTCCTGTATCAGTTGGCCTCACCCACTAGCCCTAGCTGCTAGGACGTACAATCCTCAGGTGAGCCAGCGAGAGTGTCAGTGGCGGGGGGGATAGATTTGGAGTCCACCCAGGCTGTTGGCAGAGTTCGGGCCTTTCGAGATCGAGCAAGAGGGATGGTCTTCAGAGGAAACAGAGGAAGAATGGGACTGGGGGGACACCACAGAAGAGCTGGATTTGCTGACAGGACCGTCAGAAACCCCTTACACATCAGACAATGCTGGACATTCCTGCAAGTCAGAGCCTGTAGGGATACCTACCTGAGCTCATTACCCAAATTCTTCTCTTCACCCTGGTCTAAGGCCAAAGCCAAGTCTACTGATCTGCAGAGGTGGGTGATCCATTATTCTTAGTCCTGTGTGCAGCCAGGCCTGGGGGAAAAGAAGTTTCTTCCTCGCTTCTCCCCTTTTGCAGTGGGAGATACAGGAGAGGGTGACCTTGGAGTGGGGACTAGATTACCCATATGGCCCTCAAGAAGTTATGGACAGAGTTGAGGAGTCCAGGGCTCAATGGGAGGAGGACTTGATCTGGGACAACATGCATGATCCTGGTCTAGTAGACCTTTGTGTCTTGCATATTACAGACTTTGCCAGACTATGTTAACTCCCAGAAATGCTGGTTCGGGGGTATTTGCAAGACTGCTCAGTCCCACCACTTTTCTAGGAGGGGCTCCTCAAATTATTTCAGGGCTCCAAATAACAGTTAATCAAAATGCAAAGCTCAAGTACCTTATCACCTAGTCAGCCAGCGTTTAGGCTATATTTTGTGCTTGTTGTGCTGTTCTTTTCCCACTGTTTACAGGTTTCCCAAGACAGCTGTCTTTCTTGGTGGGAGTACAGAAGACCTTTATTATGTTTTTGGGGGGTTTCCTCTGAGGAGGCACTCTATGGTTTGCTCTAAATGTGCATATACACTATATTGCCGAAAGTATTGGGACACCTCTCCAAATCATTGGATTCAGGTGTTCCAATCACCTCCAAGGCCACAGGTATATAAAATCAAGCACTTATGCAGACCATAGATGGGTCGAAAATCGACCGATTTTTCGGCCGAAAATAAAATCGGCCGATTTTCAGATCGTTAGTGGGCTATTTGGTCGGCCGTTTTGCGGCCGGTTTTTTTTTCTGTAAAGTTGGAAAAAAATCGGCTGATTTTGCCGATCGGCCGATTTTCGTGGCAATTAGTGGGCAAATCGGCCGATTTTTTGCCGATAAAAAATCTGCGCATGAGCAGTGACCTGCAAGAGGAAGACAAAAAAGAAGAAAAAGAAGAAGAGGATGAGGAAGAGGAAGAAGAGGATGAGGAAGAGGAAGAAGAAGGATGAGGAAGAGGAAGAAGAGGATGAGGAAGAGGAAGAAGAGGAAGAGGAGGAGGATGAAGAACAGGAGGATAAGGATGAAGAAGAAGAAGAGGATGAGGATGAAGAAGAGGATGAGGATGAAGAAGAAGAGGATGAGGATGAAGAAGAAGAAGAAGAGGATGCGGATGATGAAGAGGATGAGGATGATGCAGAAGAAGAGGATGAGGATGAAGAAGAGGATGAGGATGAGGATGAAGAAGAGGATGGGGATGAAGAAGAAGATGAGGATGAAGAAGAAGAGGATGAGGATGATGATGAAGAAGAAGAGGATGAGGATGATGAAGAAGAAGAGGATGAGGATGAAGAAGAAGAGGATGAGGATGAAGAAGAAGAAGAAGAAGTAGGATGAAAATAAGAAGAATTCCAGTCCAGCAAAAAGTGTCTCTGCAGAGAGCTCCGCTATTTCTGACAGTTCTCTGACAGTTCTTTGACATTTACAGCGGTTGCAACATTGTATCTATTTGTTTCCGAATAAAAACATCTGTATCCTAAATGGAAACAAATAGATACAATGTTTCAACCGCTGTAAATGTGAAGGAACTGTCAGAAATAGCGGAGCTCTCTGCAGGGACACTTTTTGCCGGCTGTAGAAGGGATGAAAATCGGCCGATTTTTTTTTTACCATTGATGGTAACGTCGGCCGCTTGAACGACTGAATTTTCGTTTTTTAAAAGCAAAATCTGCCGTTTTTCTCCCCATCTATGGCCTGCATTAGGCAATGTTTGTAGACTGCTTCTACAAACATTTGTGAAATAATTGGTCGCTCTCAGGAGCTCACTGAATTCAAGTGTGGCACCGTGATAGGTCAGCACCTGTGCAATAATTCCATCTGTGAAATTTCCTCACTACTAAATATTCCATGGTCAACTGTTATTTGTATTATAACAAAGAGGAAGCAACTGGGAACAACAGCAACTTGGCCACGTAAAATGACAGAGCGGAGTCAGCGCATGCTGAAGCGCACAGTGTGTAGAAGTTGAAAACTGTCTGCAGAGTCAATAGCTAAAGACCTCCAAACTTCGTGTGGCCTTCAGATTGGCACAACAGTGCATAGAGAGCTTCCAGGAATGAGTTTACATGGCTGAGCAGCTCCATCCAAGCCTTATATCACCAAGTGCAATGCAAAGCATTGGATGCAGTGGTGTAAAGCACGCCACCACTGGACTCCAGAGCAGTAGAGACGTGTTCTCTGGAGTGAGGAATCATGCATCTCTGTCTGGCAATCTGATGGACGTGTCTGGGTTTGGTGGTTGCCAGGAGAACGGTACTTGCCTGACTGCACTGTTGCAAGTGTAAAGTTTGGTGGAGGGGGGATTATAGCTTGGGGTTGTTTTTCAGGGGTTGGGTTGGCCCCTTAGTTCCAGTGAAGGGGACTCTTAAGGCATCAGCATACAAGACATTTTAGACAATTTCATGCTCCCCACTTTGTGGAAACAGTTTGGGGATTCCTGTTCCAACATGACTGCGCACCAGTGCACAAAGCAAGGTCCATAAAGACATGGATGAGTGAGTTTGAGGTAGACTTGAGTGGCTGGCTTATCAACCCAACAGAACACCTTTAGGATGAACTAGCATGGAGACTACGAGCCAGGCCTTCTTGTCCGACATCAGTGCCTGACCTCACAAATGCACTTCTGAAAGAATGGTCAAACATTCCAAAAGACACACCTTGTGGATAAGGGCTCTGAGGAAGAGGCAAGTCCTCGAAATGCATAAGCTTATTGGATGTCTACACTCCCTATTGCGGACGGTTACTCAGCACAGTGCTGACCCAGCTGTTCTTTTATGACATGCCTTGACTTTGTCGTTTGTGAGTACAACACCTACTTTATTTCTTATTAAACATTTTTTATGGTAATGCACTAGGCCTGTGTGCCCTCTGTTTGTTCTTTCCTCATTCAGTATATTTGGATTTCCCCGGTCTATTGAGGGCAGCAAGGTGTGCATGTTCCAGGACATTCTTAACCACAAGTCTACAGGGCACTTATACCTCCTTCCTGCCCAGGCCAATTTCCAGCTTTCAGCGCTGTCACACTTTGAATGACAATTGCGTGGTCATGCAACACTGTACCCATATGAAATTTTTGTCATTTTTTTTGTGACAGAGCTTTATTTTGGTGGTATTTAATCAACTCTGGGTTTTTTATTTTTCTTAAACAAACCAAAAACCACTGAAAATTTTGAAAAAATTTGAAATTTTTTTTTCTAAATAAGTGATTTTTCTCCTTCACTGATGTGCGCTAATGAGGCTGTAGTGATGGGCACTGATGAGGAGGCACTGATAGGTGGCACTGATGGGCATTGACAGGCATCACTGATGGGCACTGAAAGGCAGCACTGATATATGGCACTGTTAGGTCGCACTGATTGGCATTGATAGGTGACACTGACTGGCACTGATGGGTGACACTGAAAGGCAGCTCAGATGGGCACAGATATGTGGCATTGATGTGCACTGATAGCTGGCACTGATGGACACTGACAGGTGGCACTGCTGGGACTACACTGATCATCAGGGCACACTGATCATCAGTGTCCTGATGATCAGTGTAAATGTTCCCTCCGCGGAATGCTGATTACGAGCTCTGCTCTCCTCTCGAGCTGTCAGTGTGACAGCTCAAGAGGAGAGAAATGCCGATAACCGGCATTTTCCCTGTTTACATGTGATCAGCTGTGATTGGACACAGCTGATCACATGACCGAGCCAACATCTTCGGCTCTTTCCATGGATCGGTGATCCGCTGTGTCCGAGGGAAACAGTGCACCGCTGAACGCCGAGCTGTGCGCTCTCTGAGCCGCGCATGCGCGGTGAGAATGAGAGGACGTCATATGACATTCTCCCAGAACGAGAGAACCACCTTGCGCCTGTCATTGTACTATATGGTGGGCGGGAAGTGGTCAATGTGGTTGTAGCCTGCATCGAGTCCATCCCCAAGCGCAGGAGCATTTGTGTTTGCTGACACCTTGTGGATAGCCTTCCCAGAACAGTAAAAGCTGTTATAACTCCAAAGGGTGGGCCAACTAAATATTGAACCCTACAGACTAAGACTGGGATGCCATTAAAGTTGCAGTGCATGTAAAGGTAGCCGCCTAATACTTTTGGAAATATGGTGTAAGTCACTGTATATATGGTTAAAAAAATTGCCTTTGCCATTACCTGCAGAGAAGTAGCTAGGTTGTAAATATGTACGTTGTATATTGAAATTTAATTTTCTACTGACTTGCTTATTTTGTATATATAGTTTCCCCTTCCCAGTTTTTGTACCCTTTTTCCCTCCCATTTTTTTGTATAGGATGCCCTGCTCAGGAACCATTTTGTTCTTTATGCCCCAAGCCAATGAGGACATGGCTGTTTTGTTTGTGTGTGTGTGTGTGTGTGTGTGTGGTGGGGGGGAAGTAGCACCCTCCTAGTTTAGCTCCAATGGTTAGTCAGGGGTTAGGTAGCAGCCCAGGTGTAATAGGCAGAGAGGGGTCAAATTGTGGTCAGGGCTGAGAGGCTCTGCAGGCCAGCCCTTCTGGAATTCCCCCATGGTTTAGGGCTTTTGAAAGAAGGCATGGAGTGGCTGGTTGTACTTTTGAGTGATCCTAGCCAATCCCCAACAAGAGGTTGGAAAGGGGCTGAGGCACCCTTAAAGGTGGTGGAACCTGCACAGGTGCAGGAGAGTTCGGGTGGAAGATTTGAGGCTGAAGGCAGGAGGCTGTGAGGAGGCCCAGTAGGAGGGGACCTACCTCCAGCGCGAGGACCACCTGTATGGCAGGGAAGGAGTGGCCCAGGTAAAAGGTCTGGAAGTAGCCACCAACCCACAAGCAGTACAGGAGAGCATCTGATGAGTATACCTACACCCACTGGGCAGATAGGGGAAGGAGCACTCTGGTGAAAAACCAGATTAGCCACCTAACAGTGACTGTTCATTTCAAAGTGACAGGAACCGGATCCCCTGTTCAGGATACCTCCAGATTGCTGGGAGAAGAGGAGAAAGTCATCTAGGGTCTGGAGTGGTACACTAAAGAGACGCTGGCTAGCTCTCCAACAGAGAATATGCTGCAGAGAAGGCTTGTAAATAGTTCCAGGAAATTGTATTATCTACGTTGTAAAGGCACCCACCAGACTGTACTGTGCGGGTGGCTTTGTTGTCTTTTTTGTGGGAAATTGTAGGTAAATTAGTAACTAAAACAGGAACAAATCTTCAGACCTGCAAAGATCTTCCTCATTTTTGTCTGTTCATCAGCAATCTGTTTTGCCTACAAGTACTTATGTTTTATTTTAAATTTCACTTACTACTTCTTCAGATTATTAATTGGGGCACATGTCTATACGTTGCATAATTATTTTATTTTGAGTAAGGTACATCTTGAGTAAGAGTACTAACCAGTCATAAGTAATCTTGTCTAACTTTATCAGAGATGATGCTGATTGCCATTCCTGCACATAAAGAAGACCAATTTAGTAAGTTAAAAAACAAAAAAACAAAAACAAAAGCAAACTTTCAGGAAGAAGCAGAGCCTAATCCATGTTAGTGAGGGCATCACTGTTGTGAGGTTTCTTCATGGAGGATTGTTGTATTTGCCCATTCCATTTTCTTAGTGGTAGTTCACAGATTACATTAATCTGTGATTGACCCTTACAGCTTCTGCAAGTGCAATTTCTAAAAACAAAATTAGCAGATTTTAAAAAACATTTGCACAACAGTTGTATGAAATTTATCATCCGTACATTCAATGACAAATGTTTTTAACCCTTTCACTGCCAGAGCCATTTTTTTTTTTCCATGTTTACAAAAAAAAAAAAAAATTAGGCCTGAAGATTACTTAAGATGTTACTAAACCCACAACAGTAAAATCAGTCTATATATGCAGTAAATCATACTTGTTATACTCATTGTGGAACCCTGCATTGTATCAAAAGGCTGTTTGATCCTGTCTTCTCTGCCCTCTTGTTCAAATGTCCATGTCTTATCTCCTGACAAGACAGACTCAACCTGTAGCCATTCTGCACACGCTCAGTTTAGTGTATATTGCTGGAGAGGTTTTTGTTTTTTTTTTCTCTTGGGAGAATGCATGTGATCAGCACAGGGGCGGACTGACAACTCATGGGACCCCCGGGCGGTAAGATAATGGGGCCCCCTGTGCCCCCACCTACACTCAAGCACACCCACATAACATATGTACTCTCCAGCGCCTCAGGATATGCACAGCCAAAAGGGAAGCCAAGGGTACCAGGACAGGGACAACCAAAAGGAAATGTTCCAGGGGTGCAGCCCTCCTCAGACGGGGAAATCAGCCACTGGATAGAGAGAAAACAGGTGGCGCACACACCTAGTGCATTATCCAAGGTTTATTGTAGGAATTAAATCATAAAAACATACTCACAGACGAAGCATGTATCTAAAAAGCATAGAAAAATGACAATGGCCACAACGACGGGCAAGGTGTTCTCACTGTCAGTGCGGTCAAATGGCTGACGCGTTTCGGGGACGAAACCCTTTCCTCAGAGCTGATGACCAACCTCTGATGCTGATGCACGATGAATGGAAAGTAAAGTAAGAGCCCTGCTGTTGATGCCCTCACTCTACACCCACATAACACCCTTCCTACATATTGCAGCTCAGCTGCATAGAAGGGGCATTTAAATATTTACTGCAGCAAAGACTGCATGAATGTTCCCGGCTTCTTTCCGTAGAAGCCACTGGGCACTTTTAGGCTTAAAGATGGCTGCCATGTAGGGAAAGTGAAAGAGAGAGGGGAGTGAGAGGGTGAAAAAGAGGAGGAATGTGAGAGATAGATAGATGGATAGATAGATGGATAGATAGATAGATAGATAGATAGATAGATAGATAGATAGATAGAGGAGGAGGAGGAGTGAAAGAGGAAGGGATGAGAAAGGAGGGGTGTGTTTTAAATTGCACAAAAAAATTGGGCATGGCTTAAAAGGGGTGTGGTTAAATAGCGTCTCAGATGACTTATATAGTGCAGAATGAGGTAATGTTAAATAGAGAATGTACAGTGTGCAGTGTATGGCGGTGGGTAGTATGTACAGGTAGAGGAGTGCGGAGTGTATGGCGGTGGGTAGGAAGTACAAGGAGGAGTGCGGAGTGTATGGCTGTGGGTATGTGTAGGATGGTGTCAGTATGTGGTGTCAGTAGTTCATTTTTTTTTTATTTTTGTTTTAATTTTATGATTTGTTTTTTACAAATTAATGTAATATTTTTTATCATTTTTTTTCAAAATGCTTTGGGTGGCCAGTGGATGGTGTCAGTAGAGCAATGGCGTGGGTGCCAGAATTTTTTTTATTTTTATTATCTCATTTTTAACCACTTGAGCTCCTGAGGATTTACCCCCCTTAAATGACCAGGCCTTTTTTTTGCTGTTCGGCGCTGCACTAATTCAAATGATAATTGCGCGGTCATGCAATGCTGTAACCAAACGAAATTTACGTCCTTTTTTTCACACAAATAGAGATTTCTTTTGATGGTATTTTATCATCTGTGCGCTTTTTATTTTTTGCGCTGTAAACAAAAAAACACGAAAAGTTTAAAAAAAACCAATATTTTCTACTTTCAGCTATAAAAAATATATCGTAAACTCAAAGTTAGTCATAAATTTAAGCCAAAATGTATTCTGCTACATGTTTTTGGTAAAAAAAAAAAATCCCAATAAGTGTATATTGATTGCTTTGTGTGAAAGTTATAGCGTCTACAAACTATGGTATAGATACTGTAATTTATGCCTTTTTTTGCTATACAGCGCTGCACTAATTCAAATTATAATTGCGTGGTCATGCAATGCTGTACCCAAACTAAATTTATGTCCTTTTTTTCACACAAATAGAGCTTTCTTTTGGTGGTATTTTATCACCTGTGCGCTTTTTTTTTTTTGCGCTATAAACAAAAAAAAAACACAGAAATTTTGAAAAAAAACTATATTTTCTACTTGAAGCTAAAAAAAATATATCGTAAACTCAAAGTTAGTCATATATTTAAGCCAAAATGTATTCTGCTACATGTTTTTGGTAAAAAAAATCCTGTACATTAGCAGGCAAACTGGCGCTATCTGGGAGGGGCGCTAACACTATCGGAAGTCACCAGTGACACTAATACAGTGATTAGTAAAAATCTGTTCACTGATCAATGACACTGGTGACAGGGCAGTGAAGGGGTTAACACGGGGGTGGGGGGGGCGATCAAGGGGTTAGACGGGATTACTGGTGTCGTAGCGGGCAATCTGGCGCTATCTGGGAGGGGCGCTAACACTATCGGAAGTCGCCAGCGACACTGATACAGTGATCAGTAAAAATCGGTTCACTGATCAGTGACACTGGTGAAAGGGCAGTAAAGGGGTTAACTGGGGGAAGGCGATCAGGAGATTAAATGTGTCCTAGGTGTGTTCTAACTGTGGGTATGTGCGGTTTTTACTCACTGTTTATATGTCTTCTTCTCTGTCTGGAACGGAATGTGTCCAGGCAAAGAATGACATCATATCCTGTCCTGTGTAAATGTCAACACAGGACAGGATAGGACAGGGACCGATCATCTGATTTCAGCCAGACATCACTGGCTGAAATCGAATGATTGATCCCTCCGGGATCAAATGGTGTCACCCGCGGGTCAGTGAAAACGTTGGGAGTGCGGAGCCCGTTTTAAAACGTGCTTTTGTGCCCCAGTGCCGCCCTGCACACGTATATATGCAGTGGCAGGGCGGCAAGTGGTTAATTATTTCAGTTTATTTCTGTATTATTTTTTTCACAATGATTTTGTGGGAGCAGTGTACATGAGAGAAAGGAGGGGGGAGGAAGGAATGGAAGGAAGGAAGGAAGGAAGAAGGGAATAGATGGAGGGAGGAAGGAAGGAAATGGATGGAGGAAGGAATGAAGGAAAGGGAGGGAAGGAAGGAGGGGAGGAAGGAAATAATGAAGAGAGGGATGGAGGAAGGAATGAAGGGAGAGAGGAAGGGAGGGAGAAAGGAAGGAAGGATTGAAGGAAGGGAGGAAAGAAGGAAGGAATGATTGAAAGATGAGGAGTAAGGGAAGGAAAAAAATGAAGGGAGGGGATAGAGGAAGGAATGAAGGTAAGGAAGAAAAGGGGAGGGAGGGAGGGGATAGAGGAAGGAATGAAGGTAAAGGAAGAAAAGGGGAGGGAGGGAGGGAATAGAGGAAGGAAGGAAGAAAGGAAAGGAAGTAAGAAAATGGATGTAGGACAGAAAGAAGGAAGGGGAGGGAGGGAAGGAAGGAGGGGGGGGGGGAGGGAAGGAAGGAGGGGGGGGGGGGGAGGGAAGGAAGGAGGGGAGGGAGGAAGGAAGGAAGGGAGGGGAGGGAGGAAGGAAGGAAGAAAAAAAGGAGGGATTAATTAGATGAAGGAAGGAAAAAGGGAGGGAGAGCGAAAGGAAGGAAGGGAAAGAAGGAGGGAGGGAAGGAAGGAAAGAAATGAAGGGAGGGGATGGAGGAAAGAATGAAGGGAGGGAGGAAGGAAGAAAAGGAAGGGAGGGAATGGATGAAGGAATAAAGGAAGAAAAGGGAGGGAAGGAATGGAAGGAGAAAGGAAGGAATGAATGAAGGGAGGAAGGAAGGAAATGAAACAGGGGAGGGAGGGAGGAAAAAATGAAAAGAGGGGATGGAGGAAAGAAAGGGAGGGGGGAGAGAGGGAGAGAGAGAGGAGAGAGATAGAGAGAAATGAAGGAAAAGGAGGAAGTTAGGAAGGGAGGGAGGAAATGGATGGAGGAAGAAAGGGAAGTGGAGGACGGAAGGAAGGAAGGAAGGAAGGAAGGGAAGGAAGGAAGGAAGGAAGAACAGGGAGGGAATAGATGGAGGGAAGGAAGAAAGGGGAGGGCAGGAAGGAAGGAAGGAAGGAAAAAGGAGGGAGGAAATGGAGGGAAGGAAGGAGGGGAGGGAAGGAAGGAAGGAAGGAGGGGTGGGGAGGAAGGAAAAGGGGGGATGTGGGAGGAAGGAATGGAAGGAAGAAAAGGGAGGGAATGGATGGAGGAAGGAAGGAAAGAGGGAGTAGATGGAGGGAGAAGGAAGGAAATGGATGGAGGAAGGAAAGGGAGGGAAGGAAGGAGGGGAAGAATGAAGGGAGGGGATGGAGAAAAGAAGGGAAGGAAGGGAGGATTGAAGGAAGAGGAGGAAGGAAGGATTGAAGGAAGGGGAAAGGAAGAAGGAACAAAGAAGGAAGGGAAGTGAAGGGGAGGGAAGGGGGAAAGAATGAAGGAATTATTGAAAGAGATGAGGAGGAAGGGAAGGAAAAACTGAAGGGAGGGGATAGAGGAAGGAATGGAGGTAAGGAAGAAAAGGGAGGGAGGGAATGGAGGAAGGAAGAAAGAAAAGGGAGGAGGGAGACAGGGAATGGATGGAGAAAAAAAGGAAATGGATGGAGGAAGGAATGAATAAAAAGGGAGGGAGGGAATGGATGAAGGAAGGAAAAAAGAAGGAAGGGAGGAATGGGTGGATGGAGGAAGGAAGGAATGAAGGAGGGGGGAGGAAGGAAAGAAGGAAGGGAGTAAGGAAGAGGGAAATTAAAGGAGGGGGGAGGAGTGAGGAAAGAATGTAACAAAAGGAGGGGGGATGAAGGAAGAAGAAAAGGGAGGGAATTGACGGAGGAGGGAAGGAATGGATGGAGGAAGAGGACAGGGGAAGGAAGGAAGGAGGGGGGGAGGAAGGAAGGAGGAAAAGGGAAGAAGAGTGAAGGAAGGGGAAGGAAGAAAAGGGGAGGAAGGAAATGGATGGAGGAAGGAAGGAATGGATGGAGGAAAGGGAGGGAGGGAAGGAAGGAAATGAAAGGAGGGGAGGTAGAAGGCAGAAGAAGGAAAGAAGGAAGTATATGAAAGGAGGGGAGGAGGGAATGAAATGGGGAAGGGATGGAGGAAGGAAGGAATGGAGGGAGGGAAGGGAAATTGAAGAATGGGGAGGGAAAGAAGGAAGGAAAGAATGATTGAAGGGGAAGATGAGGAGGAAGGGAAAAAATGAAGGGAGGGGATTAGGAGGAAGGAATGAAGGGGTAAGGAAGAAAAAGGGAGGGAGGGAATGGAGGGCGAAAGGAAGGAAGAAAAGGGAGGGAATAGTGGAGGGAGGGGAGGAAGGAAGGAAATGGATGGAAGAAGGAATGAAGGAAAGGGAGGGAAGGAAGAAAGGAAATTA